TTTTTTTTTTTTTTGTTCTAGTCTAGGAATTCTTTTCCCTCTTTTTTTCCTATAAAAAAGAAAAAATAAGGGAAAAGTACAAAAGATTGTTTAGTGCTTTTTGATATTTGGCTGATTACTAGTTACTTCACCAACAGAATGTTTGCAATAATGATAAGTAATTTAATTAAGAGCCGTCTTTTCCAGCAAACGAAGGGCAAAAATATCGGCCACAGTACAAAAGCTACTGGGATGCAACAAAAACCATTGTACGGTCTAGCGGTTTTGCTGGACTCTATCAGGGAGTCGTACCTAATCTTGTTGGAGCTGCTCTTTCCTGGGGCCTTTACTTTGAATTGTTGGTTTTTGCTTGCTTTTGAATTAAATTTACATCGTAATTTTTACTTTTTTTATTCTGGGATAAGTTTTTTAAACATATTCAGTCTGTTGTCTCGTAAAAAACTGTACACTCCTGACGTCGTGCTTGTGTGTTTCAGGTCTTGTAGTTTCTTTTGATTTCTTGATCATGGCCAGAGAAACTTTAGATTTCTTTGAGATTTTCTCCAAACTTTGTTTTGTTCTTCTAGCTTGGCTGCCTTTATTTAGAATTTATTTTCTGCCAGATACCGGTTACCGCACTGTGGCAGTTGTCTTTTTAATTGAAGTTATTATGCGATGAAAAAGCAATGCAAGATCCATCAGATTTCTACCGGAGTGGAAGTATGCGACAATCTGTTATTAGGAATGGTTTCGGGGGGTTGCGTCCTTGCTATGACAAATCCAATTTGGGTTACCAAAACACGTTTATGTCTGCAGTACGAAAACGAATCAAAGAAGCGTTATAGAGGGATGGTTCACTGTTTGTCTTTAACCTTTCGTGAGGAAGGCGCTAAAGCACTTTACAAGATAAGTTTATTGTACTTTAGTCTTGTATCCTATTTTGAACGACTTAAAGTTTTATGAAAGTTACTTAATGAGCCAAAATTCGAGTAGCGTTTGAGAAAAAGTTTGCTTTTAGGGCTTTGTTCCTGGTTTATTGGGGACTACACATGGAGCCATTCAGTTCATGCTATACAATTTAATGAAGGATAAACGTTTTGAGAAGCTTGGAGTTGACTCAGATTACAAACTGGTAAGGTCACTTGTTTTTTAACCCAAAATTCTATAAAGCGTGTCACAAAGTTTAGTTCCACTAGTTTCTCACTAATGCACAATGACATAGGTCAACTACTAACTCCATCTATTTACTTAAATCGGAACTTCCTTTCCGTCACATTTCTGAATTCCTCCTCTCTGTTAATTCAGATTACTGCATTGGGCACTACCTTCCCACGCTTAATTTGCTGTTAACTAAAACGATACAGACGGCTGCTTGTCATATAATGTTTGTTACTCCCTGCACTTCTGCGCAGCGATTTCCGTCTTGTCTGGCAAAATGCTCCAACAGTTTGAATGCCAGTTTTGCATTAAAACATTAACGGAATAAACCACGTTTTAAACAAAAACATTTTGATAAAGTAGGTAAAACAACGGCACTTCTAAAACTTTGTCTTGCTTAAGCTTTGCAAATTAAATTGCTCTTGTAATTGCTTTAGTTGTTCTTCTACATGT